TCAAGGCAGCAAACATACTGAATACTCCTGCTTCCTATTTTCTCCACAACAACAACCACCCTGTGAGGTGGGTTGGGCTGAGAGAGAGTGACTGGCCCAAAGTCACCCAGCCAGCCAGCTTTCATGCCTAAGGGAGGACTAGAACTGACAGGTTCCTGGTTTCTAGGCTAGCCCCTTCACCACTACACCAAACTGGCTCTCTATATTATGCTGGCATAAATGATACTGTCCTCATTGCAAAGCCCTATTCTGCCTCAGTGATGAAGTCAGGGAGTAGTACTGTCTGTACAATTTTTATGTGGGATAAATTAAGGGAAGCGATTGGTATGTTTCCCTGGCTTTGTATCCCCTCCCATTGAGCATCACTCCCAATGGGAAAAACATCCACCAGTCACTCTTCTTAACATGCACTGCGACTGGGGCTGGGGAGATAAGTTTTGATAGATGGATAGACCAGTAGGTTTAACCATCCATCAAACCTTGCTTTAGTTTTGCAGAGGTGCATTCAAAGGGAGCCCACTTTTCATCTGATAATCCGATTCCTTTTGGACACAAGTATAATGCTAGTCTGGAATAGAGTTCCCCCCCTCCAGAAAAAAAAACACCCTCAAACATAATTTTATTTAACAGCACCTCCAGTAATTCTAAAAGAGACTTCAAGGTACTGTCTTGAGGATGGGGGGAGAGGTTTGGAAAGATTTAAAGGAAAAATAATTGGAAGTCACCATTCAAACAGAAGGGGAAAAACTAATAGTGAAGGTGTCAACACAGAACTGATCAGTTTCACTCCCTCTCTTTAGTCAATTTTATGGGCAGGGTTTTCCAATGGACTCTGGATGAATGGGATGGGAGGAAGACAAGGCAACTCTCGAAGCTTGTAGCGGCCTAGCCAAAAAAAAAAAAGGTGGGGGAAATGTTATCTGCAGCCCTCCCCAGCAGGACTGCAGACAGAATGAAGGTACTGATGGCACCCATAGATCCATAGATCCATACTTCCAAAACTAGACCCCCTTTGTAAGACGGCCCTATTGCTCTCTTAAAGTGGCCAACCTGTGTTTATAAGGAGCCTGTAAGACATCCAAATGGCATTTCAGAAAGCACCAGGCTAATATTATGCAGGGAGGTGCCTCTGCACCAGCTAGGTATCCAGCCTCTCCAGTCAACCAAGATAGAATAGCTGGGAAGGGTAACACTCAACAACCAGACCCGAGTGGCTGTGTTTACGGCAGCCTAAAGGGCCAATGGGAGCAAGGCAGATCCCAGCCCCCGACTCTATCATCAGCGAGGTGTCACATAGCATTTCAACAGCAAGACTTGTACAATATTGGGAAAAAAGGACCCCAGTGCCTGTCAGCTGTTTTTAGACAGCTTTTCAAATCAGCGGTAGTGCTTTCTGTGTGGTATAGTGGAAGGGAATTTTTCTTAGCTTCTCTCCTGCTTCATAAGTCAACACCTCCTCACCCCATCTCATTGCCTGTTAAGTTAGTTCACTTTTAAATAAGAGTTCCACTCTTCCAAGTATCAGTAAATCCATATTTAAAAGTATCTGCCTAACAGATGGCCAGTTGGATGGGATGAGTTTGCATCGTGAAGCAGGAGGGATTGCTGCATTGTGTGGCCTTCCCTCACCGAACCTGCCCCTTATTACTCAAGCTGATCCGTCTTTCAGAGCCAAGGCAAGAAGCTAATCCCCAGCTTGGAGAACTGGCAGATACTGGGAGAGAAGGGCTTAAAATTGTTGACTCCCTTACCCAGACCAGAATGGCCCTGGAGGAGAGTGCCCAGAGGCTGAAGTGGAGGGGGTGGGGCATGCCCACCCTTGCCTAAGCTGGCCAATAGGAGGTGGACCAATCTCTTCCCCTAAGGATCAGCTGGCCATGTCCCCAGCAGAAGGTTGGTTAAATGGGTCTGTTTGGAACCATGACAACAAGAAGAGACTTGGGTTAAAACAGAAAATACTCCTTTAATACAGAAACAACTCAGAAAAACTTAAAGCTGTCTCAGGTATCAGATGAAGGCCACATCATGAAAAATGGCAGAAAAAAAGAGGTTGCTGCAGCATGTTTGTGCCATGGTTAGAAGCAAGTGCAGAAAGGCTCTAAATCTCATTTGTGCTACAGGGTCAGCTCTTGGCAAAGAGCTGGAATTCTCTCTTCACTAAGCACGGAACTTCTAATTTCAACTCCATGAAGTTCCCCATCTATGCGTTCAATGGGCTGAATGTCATGACCGACCCTACATGGTGAGTAAAATGGAGAAAGAGCATCCATAAGATATGTCATTTTGGAAAATTACAAACAGGGTTTAAGAAAATAATTCATTTTTTCTGAAAGGGGGAGCAGAAGAAAGAATTTTGCCTAATGTTTAGGGCAGTGTTTTTCAACCTCAGCCACTTTAAGATGTATGGCCTTCAATTAGCAAGTCCCCAGTGTGAAATAGAAAAAGCAGTATTAGAGAAATATTTGGCAAGCCACAAAAGAGACAAAGCGTATTTTTGATCAAAATACATGTAGTCATGTATGTTACATTTCTGACAGAAATAACAAGAATATGGGTAAAAAATTTTTTTAAAAAGATCAAAGTGCTTTTCTTGAGCAAGGGATGTTTGTCAATTATGCACATCAGAAGAGAAGTGTTGTTCTCTTTAATTTGGCAAATAGCGATTTGTCAAGGTCATCTTCTATTTCTGCTGCCCCTATACATTTGGAAGCAATGCTGACCTGCCTTATAGGAATGTTGTAAGAATAACCACATGAACTGCATTGAGCACTAAAGGAAATCATGAAACTGCTGCCAATCCTATGTGGATGAGGTCCACACAGGATTGGCAGCAGTTTCATGATTTAAATCCTTCAATCGCATGGAAGGAGAGGAAGATTATTGAGATGTGATTTTTGAGCATGCAGGCAAGGAAAGCAGAAATGATTTGTATGCCTGGGCCTTACCTCCACAAGAGATTGACTACTCAAGAATTTTGAAAAGCTGGCTTCTTCTTTCCCTCTTGTACAATCCTGCTGTTTGTATTTTCAGGACCAATAAAGCTGTCTGGCATGGCATGAAGCTTCAGAGAAGGCAGTCCAAACCTCAAGACTGTCAAGGCTGGAGGAAAGCATCCAGCCAGTTAAGAGGACATGCCTCTCTTCCACTTAAGGACACATTCCTCATGGAGGACACCTGGAGTTGCTCAGATTCCCTGATAGTTTTGTGTGTGGAAAACGCTCTTTGATATTTGCACCTAAGAGGAACATAGAATTAGACTGGCAGGGAGCACCAGAAGGCACTAGTTACTGTCCAGGCTGGAATGCGTTGAATGAAAGAGGCCCACGCATTAAGGCATCAGGGTGCAAAGCACATGTTGAGGAAAGAAGTGGGTAAAGAACCGAAGTACCACAAGTTGCCATGAGTGTTTAGTCTGCATGGACAGCATCAGCCAGACTGCTTGCTCTTGGGTCTCAGTGCATAGATAGAGCCCCTTTTAAAATATGGCATTTGCATATACAAATATACACATCTATTCACGGACATTTCTTGACCAAAAAGTGGCAGAAGTCTGCATTAGTCACAGTCATGTTTAGGAAATACTAAGTGCCCTTGTTTCTATAAAATTCCTGAAAAGGGAATTCTGTAGAATCTGACAAAGTCTACATGTGGATTACTAGCTCATGTACACTCTTTAACATCATAGAGCTGTTACTTCAACAGCTAATGGGATGAATAGTGTAAATCCCTTCCCTAAAAACATAATATGTACCTAAAGCAGTGTTTCTTGACCTCAGCAACTTTAAGATGTGTGGACTTCAACTCCCAAAATTCCCCAGCCAGCATGCTGGCTATGGAATTCTGGGAATTGAAGTCCACACATCTTAAAGTTGCTGAGTTTGAAAAACACTGACCTAAAGCATTCCTGGTTGAATTAGCATCTCTGGAAAAGAGCCAAAGAAAAAGATTTTGTAATCATCTCTGCAGAGTGTTACTTAGTTTCTAACAACAGCAGTAAAGTTGGAACTACACAGTTATATGTAGATCCCAAGAGCATACAGTAATGTTATGCAAAAGTGCTGTCCATGGTATCATATTTAATGGGGAGAGGGGACTTACTATTTTCCATGCCAGTTATTTGCTCCCTCTGCTCATTTTCTGGAAGGATAAAACATATTGGACCCTATACCTAAAGAAGTGATTTTAATGGGCAAGCAGAACGATTCTTGTCAAGGAAAATGTTAACTGACACCTTCTCAAACTACATGGCCTACAGAAACTCTCAAACCTTCACTTATCAACATGCATGCATCATAGCTGATTAAAAAAGAGTTTGGGGGATGAAATTGCAAGAAGAGAATTGGAAAGGTTTAAGCACCCTTTTTCCAACCAATTACCCCCTGAAATAGCCACCTCAAACAAACTTACTTGTACTATAATCACCAAATTCTGGTTAGGGAAACCTGAACATATTGGTATACTTTTTATTTCTTCTGACAGTATAAACATAGTTTCTGTTCCCAAACTATGGTACCAGGATAGTACTATCCAAGAGATGCAAACTATGATTTCCAATAATGCTACCTGACACTGCAGTGCTCTTTGTTTGTCCAAACAACATTGTTGCCTTGGATTCAGACTGTTGTTAATTATGCCCCTGGAGAAGCATCTGGAAGGCTATATTAAAGGCACCTGCATACATAACTTTAGATGTTCTTCATTTCCATTCTTTATTTCCAATTAAAAAAGAGAATATGGATCAGGACCATAATCTCAAACATATCAGTCTGATAATATGTCTCATTACATTCAAGCAGCATATACTTTGGTGTAGTTAATGGCAAAAAAAAAAAATGTGCATTACAGTTTTTCACTTTGGGGCCTCATTGAAATTAATGACTATCTTAACTATTATTCATTTCAATGAGGCCCCAGATGCATAATTTAGGAAAGATCCATCCCAATACGATTATAAAATATGAAAGCATTTATAAGTCACCTGACAGATGTAACAGATTTAATCAAATGTGTAAAATGCAAAAAAAAAAAAAAAAGTGTATCATTAATAAAGAAACTTGATTACAGACCATTGCTGATCTGTTTCAGTTTGCCCATATAACCAGAAAAGATCCTTAAGACTGACAGTGGGATCACACAAATCTACATTTGTCTGTGCCTTCCAGCAATTTTACTATATGTGCTAAACTATGAAAAAAATCAAAATAAATTTTGAATCTTCCCATTACTGTAATTTATCCAGTGGAAGGTGCTACTTATATATTGCTTAACATACTTCACATTTATTTCTGTAAGAGAAATTGCAATTAAAGTATCCATTTTGTTTTTAAAAACAAATTCCCATTGTCTAACATTATTTTGAAGCTGATAGCTGTGTTTGGCTTTTAAATCTGTTCTATTTCCTAATATCTTCTGAATCAGTTAGTTATAAATCTGTGAAATAAAATCCTTTTACTGAGACTGAACTTGTTAACCTATGCTTATAAATTTTTCTTGATGTATTAACCATTTTTAAAGAAGAATGCCTATTTAGAAAAATTGAAATCATGTTTTGATATATTTTTCCATACTGTAATTACTTACCACTATAAAGCAACTTCTATATAATCTTTGTTTAAAAATGCTCCCTTTCTTTTTTATTTTGGTTATGTCTTTTAGATATAAACCTGTGAACAGAGATTCAGAGATCCGGTTACTATCAGTTATTTTGTAGTATTAACTACTACTATAGTTATTCTGAAAGCCTTTTGGCTGAAAAGCAATGTAAAATTCTTTGAATAAATAATGTGGACATTCACAAAGCTACTAAATGCTTGCTTGTAGAAAATAGATTTCTTGAAGACGTCATTTGATGGTACATATATAATATGTCCCCTGGCATTGTTAAATTTTAACTGAAGGTCTTGTTTAAACCTTGTTTAATCAAATAATTGGCTGTAATAGAATTCTTGTCACTGATCAAGCTATTATTTCCAAATCCTATCAGATTACCCATAATAACTACATTTCTTATGAAAGAAAATTGCAAAAAGGATGTTATGTCATTTATCTGTGACAATAATCTATTACAGTTTTTCCCATAATCTCAAGAGGTCATTATCATAAATAGAAATATTAAAATATTATTCAAGGCAAACATTAATTTAATCCTGCTATATGAGTTAACTGTTTAGAGATAAAATTAAATAAAATCATTTCCCCTTCAAAAGCACTATGTAATTTTCTTCCATGTTCATTCTTGATAACTAGAATTTTGATGGAAATATTTTACCCATGAACCTTTCCATATAACTTAACAACATGCAAAGTACTGTATACTTCTTTTAAAGAATAGAGGCAAACTTGAAATCATTATCATCTGCATATATTGTTAAAACTTATTTCTATTAGAAACATTACAGTACTCGAAAGCTGAGAATAACATTTCAGTCTAATTTTTCTTCTTAAAGCTATTTTTCTTTTTCTGCATATTGATTGTTTAATCATTTCTGGGGGCTTAAGGTTCAGTTTTAATGCCAAATATTTAAATATCTTTAAGGATTAATCAAAGATTATCTGATTTTAAAGACAGTCCATTGTTCTTTCAAGGATAACTTT